GACGACGTAAGTCACCTTCTGCAGGCGACCGTCGGGAAGCTGGACGTAATAAGAGCCCTTGGTGTCGTAATCGTTGCGAGACTCCTGGTGACCGAAGTCGTTGCCGGAGCCATCACTCACAGCGTACTGGGAGTCGTACCGGGGAGGAGTCTGTGGACGGATGATTTACAATGTTACACTGACATTACCACACATGATAACACGAGTTCGCATTTTATGATGTCCTATTCTGAGTTAACTGAACCTCAAATCCTGTTAAATTATAATTGAAGTTTAGTCATAAATGAAAGGTGTTATTTTATCATACGAAATATGTTGTAATGTGTAAGTATTATTTCAGACATGTTTCTATTAATGTTGCTTTTACTGCTATTAATGTATCGAACAAAATACAACAACAATACAGTTGTATCTCTTGATGTTATGATTTATTCTTAGTCTTGAATGATTTATTACGAACACTATCATTGATGGAAAAACTGAACGACTTTATATTGGTCGAAAACACGTCGAATCATGACCATTTATCACATCGGACTAAACCAGCTCCAATAACGTTTAATCTATGTTAGATCAACGTTAATAAAGTTATATTAACGTTATTATCGTTGCGTCAGTGTTACATCAACGTCGTTTGCCTAGGTGAGCCCTGGAAGACGTATTGTGTTATATGCTTACGTCAGGATAAGCTGGAGCACCGTACGAAGCCGCTCGTGGGTAGCCTGGAGCTTCTGGTCGTGCCACGACGACACCCACCACAGCTGCCAACACCAGAATCTGCAGGACGAACCAAGGAAAACAGTGACCTAAACTGCATGGCCGCATATAGCTATATAATCTTCCTATTACTGTGTGACTTATTATTACAGTGAGCAAACTGTTCTCAACTGAAGTTTAACTTAATCTAACATTAGCGGTGATTCATTGTTACATCAGCATTACAATAACGTTGATTCATTGTTATTTCATTGTTACACCGACGCTGATTCGTTGTTACATCGAAATTGATTCGTTGTAACATCAACGAAGATTCATTGTTACATCAACTTCGCTTGCCCACCTTTGTCAACAGGGATGACAAAAGTACCAAGTTCAGTTACAAATTAATCCTGCGATTTGTAAATAAAAAATTATATGTAACTGACTGCACATTAATTGCTCAGCTTAGAGACTGTTGTGGTCCAGTATTTGAACCAATTGTGCTATAAAAGGTTATTGGATATATACATTAAACCCTGTAACTATTTCATCAAGACTGTTGCTTACTTAGGTAAACGAATTATGGGGTTCAGCTCCTGAGCCCATTATGTACCTCTGTAACTGTGTTCACTACCGCCCACAGGATGGTAATGGGGTGTATAGTATTTGAACAAAAATTGATCAGTATAACACGAAACACCTGTAGTGAAGTAGAATGATCTCCTACCTTATAAGTCATGTTGGTAGTGAGTCGTTATGGTGACTGATGCTTCTTGAGACGGAGCGGAGCCTTATATACCAGCGGCTCCTCCGCCAGCGGCGTGACGTGGAAGATTTGACATTGCAAAACATTTTGAGAATTGCAGTTATGAGGGATAAAGTATTTTGCTAAATCATATTGAATTTGATAAGTAATATGAATTTTTGTTTCTGTTGGATCTCCAGTTGTGATACTTAAACACATGTTTTAGGAACAGATGATCCTGATACACAAGGTATTGGTACACATGCTCCTGGTACACACTCAGTCCTGATACACAAGGTATTCGTACACTTGCTCCTGGTACACACTCAGTCCTGGTACACAAGGTATTCGTACACATGCTCCTGGTACACACTCAGTCCTGATACACAAGGTATTGGTACACATGCTCCTGGTACACACTCAGTCCTGATACACAAGGTATTGGTACACATGCTCCTGGTACACACTCAGTCCTGATACACAAGGTATTGGTACACATGCTCCTGGTACACACTCAGTCCTGATACACAAGGTATTCGTACACATGCTCCTGGTACACACTCAGTCCTGATACACAAGGTATTGGTACACATGCTCCTGGTACACACTCAGTCCTGGTACACAAGGTATTGGTACACATGCTCCTGGTACACACTCAGTCCTGATACACAAGGTATTCGTACACATGCTCCTGGTACACACTCAGTCCTGATACACAAGGTATTCGTACACATGCTCCTGGTACACACTCAGTCCTGATACACACACGTACACATTGTGGAGTGTGTACCTGTGTTGAGGTGGTTGACCTAACGAAGATAAATGTTGTGGCTTCTGCCTAATGAACGGCAGACACCACAAACTAGAGTCTATCACATTACCCCTATTGACAATTTAGTTGAACTATTACCAAAAATAACGTCTCAGGAGTCTTTTTACAGACTACTAGTTTAACTGTTAGGTGACCAGAGGCACTAGGTGGCCGGAAACGTGCTCAATCATTTCTGTCCCACCAAAGAATCAAATAGAGTGTGAGTCGAGAACTAAATCAACTGTACTACGATTATTTATAGAATATTCGTTTAATAACTGCCGTAAATGACGATTAATTATAGAATTTCAGTTTTTCATCATTGTGAGTGATCCTCCGTTCATCGACAGCCCTTTTTTCAGACATTTTTTGTGCCTGTAGTGCTGGTCACTGTGGTAGGCTGGGTCTGGTTAAGTTAGGTTGCTAGAATAAGTAAGGTAAAGGTTTGCTTAAGTTAGATCAGGTTAGGTTAATTTAAGTTATGTAAAGTTTAGGTTAGGTAAAGTTTAGGTTAGGTTAGGCTCTGTCCTGACCTGAAGGTATTGAGCTATGAGGAAAGACTGAGAGAGCTTTCCACACTGAAGGAAAGGAGAGATAGGGGGACATGATAAAACACATAAGATGCTAATGGAAATACACAATATAGGCAAAGAAGGAAGTCCACTTCGGGCTCACCATAGCCGTGCTACTTTTATATATATATATATATATATATATATATATATATATATATATATATATATATATATATATATATACATATACATATATATACTATATATATATATATATATATTAGTATATATATGTATATATATATATATATATATATATATATATATATATATATATATATATATATATATATATATATATATATATATATCCTCCAGTGCCAATCTCAGAACTCACTACTCAATGTAAGTGGGTGGACCTGCATCGTCAGCAATGCTAGAGTCAGCTTGTGGGAAGAATAATGCACGCCTCATCTACATGAAATCCCTCGTGCTGTTGATTTCCTGCTGTGTGTCTCTAATTCCACTCCGCCTGGGCAATCGGGCCTTAAGTATTGACGTTGCTCTGTGGCTTGTCGTCTCCGTCTCCACCAAACACCAGTGTATCTGCGGCTCTACGAGAGACCAATACCGTAACCATGGTCTCATCAACCATAAGTCAGAGGGAAAGGTTGCTAGAAATGATACAGCCAATGACATCGTTAAGAGAAGTTTGACTACACGCAAGTGTCAAGCCTAAAGGGAACCGCAAATGTTCAAACCTGTCAAGAGTCACAGGCGCCCAGATGTAGTCACCCGGCAGCCATGGAAGCGTGGTAAACAGGTTGTGTGGGGCTACATTCGTGCGTCTACATTGGCTAATGTCTATGTTCGGTACGGTGAGGCTGAAGGTGGTGGGACTACCACCTTCAGTGATACCCAGAAAGCTATTTAATACAGGGTTATCTTGAGGTTATCTTGAGTTGATTTCGGGGCTTTAGTGTCCCCGCGGCCCGGTCCTTGACCAGGCCTCCACCCCCAGGAAGCAGCCCGTGACAGCTGACTAACACCCAGGTACCTATTTACTGCTAGGTAACAGGGGCATTCAGGGTGAAAGAAACTTTGCCCGTTTGTTTCTGCCTCGTGCGGGAATCGAACCCGCGCCACAGAATTACGAGTCCTGCGCGCTATCCACCAGGCTACGAGGGACCTAAGTTAAATGTGCCATTAAGCTTGAAGGAGATTGAAGAGGAATTCACTAGGCAAATCAGAAACCTATGAACAGCTACACACAGAGATCACACTAATGTAATGCATCAAATGAACGAATCCACAAGGGCCGTGACGAGGATCCTCGTCACGGCACTTGTGGATTCGTTCTTACGAACAGCTAGTTTCTTATTCCAGCGCCTCAGTGACTCGATCCAGAAAGGAAATGCCTGCTGCATCTTAAGCACCCACCCCACCTCTGCAGAGCTAGATGAATTTTTTGAATAGTAATTGCCATATATATGTGTGTATTCTATATGCTGTAATACAATGTAATATATTACAAAATTAATCATAGTGTAATATATTATGTATATAACTTAAAACGTATGACGGCAAATAAAATGAAACATAAAATACCTTACTGCTCTCGTGTACATTTCAGCACATCTTCAGAACTAATAAATCGATGCCTACAATTGATTGATAAAGATTAAGCCACATATAAGAGGTGGCACGGGCATGAATAGCCCGTAAGATGCCTACAAATGTAACATGCACATATATAGGCAGGCGTGGGAAAGTTACATGTGAGTTGGAAAAACAGTCTTCATTAATGGGAGTTCAAAACATTCAATAATTGTATTCTTATGAACTCGTATATTTTGTTCTCACCTTCTCAGCTTTCGCTTCACATTTCCTACCGTTTATATTAACTTTATCTGCCACACGCGACTTGATAATTACCCAAGAACACTGAAACGTCATCACTTCCTATATTTTCTGATGTATGAGTTGGGTGTCTTAAAATAATAGAAACAGCTCCGGAAAGCCATTGGGAATAGTTCCCTAATATTCCGCTAAGACCGTTGTAGTAGTTAAAAAGCAAACACATCACATTATTTAACAAAATACTTTATCCCTTACTACTGTAAATTTATAAATGTTTAGGAATGTCAAAACTTCCACGTCACGCCGCTGGCGGAGGAGCCGCTGGTATATAAGGCTCCGCTCCGTCTCAAGAAGTATCAGTCACCATAACGACTCACTACCAACATGACTTACAAGGTAGGAGATCATTCTACTTCACTACAGGTGTTTCTAGTTATACTGATTGATTGTTGTTCAAATATTATACACCCCATTACCATCCTGTGGACGGTAGTAAACACGGTTGCAGAGGCACATAATGGGCTCAAGAGCTGAACCCCATAATTCATTTACCTAAGTAAGCAACAGTCTTGATAAACTAGTTACAGGGTTCAAAGTATATATCCAATAGCCTTTTATAGCACAATTGGTTCAAATACTGGACCACATCAGTCTCTAAGTTGAACAAATAATGTGCAGTCAGTTACATATAACTTAATTTGCTAATCGCAAGATTAATTTGTAACTGAACTTGGTACTTTTATCATCTCTGATGGCATTGCCAAGTCTGTGACGTAATGATGAATCAACATTGATGCTATGATGAATCAACGTTGATGTAACAACGAATCAACTTAGCTGTAACAATGAGTAAATGTTGTATTAATGACTGAACGTTGATGTCAAGATAAATCAACGTTTTTGTAAGATTAAATTGACGTAGATGTAACAACGAATGAAATTTGATGTAACAATAAATCAACATTGGTGTAAATGAATCAACGATAATATGAGTCAACATTAATGCAACAATAAATAAATGTTCATGTATCAATGAATCAACGTTGATGTATGTCATTGAATCAACGATGATGAAACAATTAATCAACGTTAACGCATTTAAAATAAACTATAATTTTAGAATGGTTTGCTATATGCGGCCATACAGTTTAAGTCACTGTTTTCCTTGGTTCGTTCTGCAGGTTCTAGTGTTGGCAGCTGTGATGGGTGTCGTCGTGGCACGACCAGAAGCTCCAGGCTACCCACGAGCGGCTTCGTACGGTGCTCCAGCTTATCCTGACGTAAGCATATCCCGCAATACGTCTTCCAAGGCTCACCTAGACAAACGACGTTGATGTAACACTGATGCAACGATAATAACGTTCATACAACTTTATTAACGTTGATCTAACGTAGATTAAACGTTATTGGAGCTTGTTTAGTCCGATGTGATATATGGTCATGATTCGACCTGTTTTCGACCAATATCAAATCGTTCAATTGTTCCATTAATGATAGTGTTCGTAATAAATCATTCAAGTATAAGAATAAATCATAATGTCAAGATATTCAACTGTATTGTTGTTGTATTTTGTTCGATACATTATTATTAGTAAAAGCAACATTAATGGAAACATGTCTGAAATAATATTTACACATTACAACATATTTCGTATGATAAAATAACACCTTTCATTTATGACTAAACATCAATTGTAATTTAACAGAATTTGAGGTTCAGTTAACTCAGAATAGGACATCATAAAATGCGAACTCGTGTTATCATGTGCGGTAATGTCAGTGTAACATCGTAAATCATCCGTCCACAGACTCCTCCCCGGTACGACTCCCAGTACGCTGTGAGTGATGGCTCCGGCAACGACTTCGGTCACCAGGAGTCTCGCAACGATTACGACACCAAGGGCTCTTATTACGTCCAGCTTCCCGACGGTCGCCTGCAGAAGGTGACTTACGTCGTCAACGGCGACTCCGGCTACGTGGCCCAAGTTGAATACCAGGGAGAGGCCCAGTACCCAGCCTACCAGCCCAGTTACAAGCCCGCTCCAGCCTACAAGCCAGCCCCAGCCTATGCATAATCTGATGTGATAATCTAGCTTCTTTGTTGATATCCAATCCTATGTTTAATTTAAATAAAGCTATGGAATTTAATGTCCTTATTTCTTCAAACAACGACGCCACATTTATATATAAGATATATAATGATACATTGCAGCAAACAGTTCAGGAGTCAGGCCTGATGCAATTAATACTGTTGAAATACGTAATTTATTTTCCTCGTGCTACTTGTGGCTAGTCATAGTTCATGCTGCATTTTCAATACTTTGGCGCGATCATCCAGTAGTTCTTAAAAATCTTTTTAATCTTAAAAATCGGATGTTCTTTACAACTGGAGCTTCGTGTGAGCACACAATTGATATAAGAGTCAAGAACATTTCCATAATACCTGTCAGGACACTCACCATTAACATCAAGGCATTTTCTATATTAGTGAGTGCCCTGACGTCGGCAACACAGACTTCGAGTGCCCCTGACGTCGACAACACTGACGTCGAGTGCCCCTGACGTCAACAACACTGACGTCGAGTGCCCCTGACGTCGACAACACTGACGTCGAGTGCCCCTGATGTCGATAAACAGTGATGTCAATGTCAACCATGATCTTTTACACAGCTCCGCAAGGAAGCAGGTTGATGAGAAACAGAACCTTGAAGAGATCATTAAACAAAGTGAACAGTCAATGCATGATGCAAAGCCGAGTACTGTACCACCACCCTACAAAAGCATGGGAGAGTCTTTATAAACTCATTCAACCCCATGCCCCAGTGCACTCGCATTATGTGTTGTCACGGGGAAAGACAAAGGGCAGAGCCTCGGCGAGCTCCACGGGTGACCCTCCGTCATTGCTCTCTTTACTGTCAGCTTTGTACTCACTTTCCCTGGTGATGAAGTCGGCGCTTAACCCCTGTGTACACCAGCTCCAAAACACAGGGACCTCGCGGCACCTCTGTGGACTCACTAGGCTACTATCTGTCCCCAGAGAACGGGAGTAGAGTCGCAGCCTACCTCGGACACCTGGTTATCCAGCTATTGTGATCATGGGGGTTCTCACCTGCGCCCAGCGCGGAAGAAATGACTTCAGTTTCTCTGCTCTAGTCCTCTTGAAACATGAGGCTACGTTCCCCGATTCCATTAAAACTTTAATCCTGAACACAAGTGGTCAGTACCCTACTGTCAGGCTTTCACACACAAATGACGAGGTATAATTATTGTGAAGGTACATGCAAGCAAGCCAAGAAAATATATGATCTATAACACTAATCTAACCTCACCTCACACTAAGGGTCCTTGACACCCGTCTACTCACACAAACTAGCTAATGGATGTTCCACTCAATATCAAGACATTCCACATCAATAACTACTAGACTGACAAATTCTTTAGGACAACATAATTTTGTAGCTTTAACTTAATATTCTGTAGCTTTTACTTAATATTCTGTACTTTTTACTTAATATTCTGTAGCTTTTACATAATATTCTGTAGCTTTTACATAATATTCTGTACTTTTTACTTAATATTCTGTAGCTTTTACTTAATATTCTGTAGTTCCTACTATACATTTTGTACCTTTCACTTAATATTTTGTAGCTTTTACTTAATATTCTGTAGTTCCTACTAGATATTCTGTAACTTTTACTTAGTCTTCTATAGCTGTTACATAATATTCTGTATCTTTTACTTAAACTTTTATAGCGCCTATTTAATATTCTGTAACTTTTACTTGACCATCTGTAGCTTTATTTTAACATTCTGTAATAGCTTTTACTTAATCTTTCTTCCTTCTTTAGGCTTTTAGGAAGCCTTCTTTAGTGTGTGCTTAATGCTCTTTAGCTCTTACTTAACATTCTCTAGCTTCTTAGTTTGATTAAGTGTTAATTGTTGGATTATAATTCATAATGGCTATAAAATGTTTCACAAAATTACCAGTTGTAGAACGAGTTACGTGAAAAAGAACCAAGGTTTCCCAAAACAAAATTGTCTCATTAATAAAGAATTTTTTGTTGTTCATTTACTAAATGCTGTGAACTTGGTTATCATGGAATAAAACGTATTATAGAGTTTTAAAATAATCAATGCATTTGTTTAGCTTTCTAACTCAAATACTTAAATTTAACGTGAATGAAAATTAAATATCTATTTACATATGCCAGAGTATTTTAATAACATAGTTCCTTCACATAATGAATCACGTGTGAAAGAACACCAGCGATATTCACTCTCTCGATATCTGTTTTATGAATACATGATGACAATTTCCTCACATGAGGGCAATTCTCTTAACATTTGCTGTCTGAAGATCTTGCCTCGTCACGTGACCTTGTGTGGGCGGGGCTGCAGGTATAAAAGGCTCCGGCCCGACTCGGATATGACTAGTCACCTGCACTGTTCACTGCTAACATGTCGACCAAGGTGAAAATCCTCCACAAGAAGTAGTTTTTACACTGAGATTACCAATAAGGCAGATATACACCGTGTTATCGGTGTATACATACACTGAGAGTTAATTTTGGTATAAGCCAATGTTCCAGACTGAAATATACTTGTTGGGTGGTCAGTAAACTATTACTGTGACCTTAAAATTACTCCAGAGGTTGATAGGCCTTAAGCCCAACACTAAACTAACCAAATCTTTGTCTTTTTCCTATAAATGTCTGGCTTGATATAGGCATTACGAGTTATAACATAATTTTATATAACATGCGATGTCGTTTTTTGTAATTTGTCAGGCAACAGCAGAATTCTCTTGTTTTGTAAGACTATGCAGTTCGGTTAAGTGTCTTAATAAGTGTTGATGCCTGGCCCTGTAGGTTCTTGTGTTGGCTGCCATTGTGGCTGCCACCCTCGCCCGCCCTGAACCTCCCCCAGCATACGGGCCACCTCCAGCATACCCCAGACCATCCTACGGTGCTCCAGCTTATCCAGACGTGAGTAAAGCTTTAGCTGTCTCAGTTTCATATATGTTAATTTTCTTTAAAGTTATAATAACAACCTGATGAACTTGCATAAAATAATGCACTAATATTAAAATGATCTTGCTGAAAGGCGCACTTCATAGTCATACCTTTACGAATTGGAGTAATTTAAATGTTTCAAGTTTCTTTCATAATGAACTGAAAGTAACGTAACTTATCAACATATATCCAGCATGTTATCATGTGCGGTAATGTCAGTGTAGCATTGTTAATCATCCGTCCACAGACTCCTCCCCGTTACGACTCCCAGTACGCTGTGAGTGATGGTTCCGGCAACGACTTCGGTCACCAGGAGTCTCGCAACGATTACGACACCAAGGGCTCTTATTACGTCCAGCTTCCCGACGGTCGCCTGCAGAAGGTGACTTACGTCGTCAACGGCGACTCCGGCTACGTGGCCCAAGTTGAATACCAGGGAGAGGCCCAGTACCCAGCCTACCAGCCCAGTTACAAGCCCGCTCCAGCCTACAAGCCAGCTCCTGTTTATGCATAATCTGATGTGATAATCTAGCTTCTTTGTTGATATCCAATCCCATGTTAAATTTAAATAAAGCTGTAGAATTTAATGTTCTTATTTCTTCAAACAACGACGCCACATTTATATATAAGATATATAATGATACATTGCATCAAACAGTTCAGGAGTCACGCCTGACGCAATTAATACTGTTGAAATACGTAATTTATTTTCCTCGTGTTACTTGTGGCTAGTCATAGTTCATGCTGCATTTTCAATTCTTTAGCCTGATCATCCAGTAGTTCTTAAAAATCTGATGTTCTTTTCAACTGGAGCTGCGTGTGAGCACACAATTGATATAAGAGTTAACAACATTTCCATGATACCTGTCAGGACACACACCATTAGCATCAAGAAATTTCCTATATCAATGAGTGCCCTGACGTCGACAACACTGACGTAGAGTGCCCCTGACGTCGACAACACTAACGTCAAGTGCCCCTGACGTCGACAACACTGACGTCGAGTGCCCCTGACGTCGACAACACTGACGTCGAGTGCCCCTGACGTCGACAACACTGACGTCGAGTGCCCCTGACGTCGACAACACTGACGTCGAGTGCCCCTGATGTCGATAAACAGTGATGTCAATGTCAACCATGATGTCTTACACAGCTCCGCTAGGAAGCAGGTTGATGAGAAACAGAACCTTGAAGAGATCATTAAACAAAGTGAACAGTCAATGCATGATGCAAACCCGAGAACTGTACCACCACCCTACAAAAGCATGGGAGAGTCTTTATAAACTCATTCAACCCCATGCCCCAGTGCACTCGCATTATGTGTTGTCACGGGGAAAGACAAAGGGCAGAGCCTCGGCGAGCTCCACGGGTGACCCTCCGTCATTGCTCTCTTTACTGTCAGCTTTGTACTCACTTTCCCTGGTGATGAAGTCGGCGCTTAACCCCTGTGTACACCAGCTCCAAAACACAGGGACCTCGCGGCACCTCTGTGGACTCACTAGGCTACTATCTGTCCCCAGAGAACGGGAGTAGAGTCGCAGCCTACCTCGGACACCTGGTTATCCACCTATTGTGATCATGGGGGTTCTCACCTGCGCCCAGCGCGGAAGAAATGACTTCAGTTTCTCTGCTCTAGTCCTCTTGAAATATGAGGCTACGTTCCCCGATTCCATTAAAACTTTATTCCTGAACTCGAGTGGTCAGTACCCTACTGTCAGGCTTTCCCACACAAATAACGGGGAATAATTGTTGTGAAGGTACATGCAAGCAAGTCAGGAAAATATATGATCTATAACACTAATCTAACCTCACCTCACACTAAGGGTCCGTGATACCCGTCTACTCACACAAACTAGCTAATGGATGTTCCACTCAATATCAAGACATTCCACATCAATAAATACTAGACTGACAAATTCTTTAGGACAACATAATTTTATAGCTTTAACTTAAATTTCTGTAGTTTTTACTTAATATTCTGTACCTTTTACTTAATATTTTGTAGCTTTTACATAATATTCTGTAGCTTTTACTAGATATTCTGTAACTTTTACTTAGTCTTCTATAGCTGTTACATAATATTCTGTATCTTTTACATAACTTTCTATAGCGCCTATTTTATATTCTGTAACTTTTACTTGACCATCTGTAGCTTTATTTTAACATTCTGTAATAGCTTTTACTTAATCTTTCTTCCTTCTTTAGACTTTTAGGAAGCCTTCTTTAGTGTGTGCTTAATGCTCTTTAGCTCTTACTTAACATTCTCTAGCTTCTTTGTTTGATTAAGTGTTAATTGTTGGATTATAATTCATAATGGTATTAAAATGTTTCACAAAATTACCAATTGTGGAACCAATTACATGAAAAAGAACCAAGGTTTCAAAAAACAAAATTGTCTCATTAATAAAGAATTTTTTGTTATTCATTTACTAAATGCTGTGAACTTGGTTATCATAGAATAAAACGTATTATTGAGTTTTAAAATAATCAATGCATTTGATTAGCTTTCTAACTCAATTATTTAAATTTAACGTGAATGAATATTAAATATCTATTTACATATGCCTGAGGATTTTAATAACATAGTTCCTTCACATAATGAATCACGTGTGAAAGAACACCAGCGATATTCACTCTCTCGATATCTGTTTTATGAATACATGATGACAATTTCCTCACATGAGGGCAATTCTCTTAACATTTGCTGTCTGAAGATCTTGCCTCGTCACGTGACCTTGTGAGGGCGGGGCTGCAGGTATAAAAGGCTCCGGCCCGACTCGGATATCACTAGTCACCTGCATTGTTCACTGCTAACATGTCGACCAAGGTGAAAATCCTCCACAAGAAGTAGTTTTTACACTGAGATTACCAATAAGGCAGATATACACCGAGTTATCGGTGTATACATACACTGAGAGTTAATTTTGGTATAAGCCAATGTTCCAGACTGAAATATACTTGTTGGGTGGTCAGTAAACTATTACTGTGACCTTAAAATTACTCCAGAGGTTGATAGGCCTTAAGCCCAACACTAAACTAACCAAATCTTTGTCTTTTTCCTATAAATGTCTGGCTTGATATAGGCATTACGAGTTATAACATAATTTTATATAACATGCGATGTCGTTTTTTGTAATTTGTCAGGCAACAGCAGAATTCTCTTGTTTTGTAAGACTATGCAGTTCGGTTAAGTGTCTTAATAAGTGTTGATGCCTGGCCCTGTAGGTTCTTGTGTTGGCTGCCATTGTGGCTGCCACCCTCGCCCGCCCTGAACCTCCCCCAGCATACGGGCCACCTCCAGCATACTCCAGACCATCCTACGGTGCTCCAGCTTATCCAGACGTGAGTAAAGCTTTAGCTGTCTCAGTTTCATATATGTTAATTTTCTTTAAAGTTTTAATAACAACCTGATGAACTTGCATAAAATAATGCACTAATATTAAAATAATCTTGCTGAAAGGCGCACTTCATAGTCATACCTTTACGAATTGTAGTAATTTAAATGTTTCAAGTTTCATTCATAATGAACTGAAAGTAACGTAACTTATCAACATATATCCAGCATGTTATCATGTGCGGTAATGTCAGTGTAACATTGTTAATCATCCGTCCACAGACTCCTCCCCGTTACGACTCCCAGTACGCTGTGAGTGATGGTTCCGGCAACGACTTCGGTCACCAGGAGTCTCGCAACGATTACGACACCAAGGGCTCTTATTACGTCCAGCTTCCCGACGGTCGCCTGCAGAAGGTGACTTACGTCGTCAACGGCGACTCCGGCTACTTGGCCCAAGTTGAATACCAGGGAGAGGCCCAGTACCCAGCCTACCAGCCCAGTTACAAGCCCGCTCCAGCCTACAAGCCAGCTCCTGTTTATGCATAATCTGATGTGATAATCTAGCTTCTTTGTTGATATCCAATCCCATGTTAAATTTAAATAAAGCTGTAGAATTTAATGTTCTTATTTCTTCAAACAACGACGCCACATTTATATATAAGATATATAATGATACATTGCATCAAACAGTTCAGGAGTCACGCCTGACGCAATTAATACTGTTGAAATACGTAATTTATTTTCCTCGTGTTACTTGTGGCTAGTCATAGTTCATGCTGCATTTTCAATACTTTAGCCTGATCATCCAGTGGTTCTTAAAAATCTTAAAAATCTGATGTTCTTTTCAACTGGAGCTGCGTGTGAGCACACAATTGATATAAGAGTTAACAACATTTCCATTATACCTGTCAGGACACACACCATTAGCATCAAGGAATTTCCTATATCAGTGAGTGACCTGACGTCGACAACACTGACGTCGAGTGCCCCTGACGTCGACAACACTGACGTCGAGTGCCCCTGACGTCAACAACACTGACGTCGAGTGCCCCTGACGTCGATAACACTGACGTCGAGTGCCCCTGACGTCGAAAACACTGACGTCGAGTGCCCCTGATGTCGGTAAACAGTGATGTCAATGTCACCCATGATCTCTTACACACCTCCGCTAGGAAGCAGGTTGATGAGAAACACAGAACCTTGAAGAGATCATTAAACAAAGTGAGCAGTCAATGCATGATGCAAAGCCGAGTACTGTACCACCACCCTACAAAAGAATGGGAGAGTCTTTATGAACTCATTCAACCCCATGCCCCAGTGCACTCGCATTATGTGTTGTCACGGGGAAAGACAAAGGGCAGAGCCTCGTCGAGCTCCACGGGTGACCCTCCGTCACTGCTCCCTTTACTGTCAGCTTTGTACTCACTTTCCCTCGTGATGAAGTCGGCGTTTAACCCCTGTGTACACCAGCCCCAAAACACAGGGACCTCGCGGCACCTCTGGGGACTCACTAGGCTACTTTCTGTCCCCAGAGAACGGGAGGTAGAGTCGCAGCCTACCTCGGACACCTGGTTATCCAGCTATTGTGATCATGGGGGTTCTCACCTGCGCCCAGCGCGGAAGAAATGACTTCAGTTTCTCTGCTCTAGTCCTCTTGAAACATGAGGCTACGTTCCCCGATTCCATTAAAACTTTAATCCTGAACACAAGTGGTCAGTACCCTACTGTCAGGCTTTCACACACAAATGACGAGGTATAATTATTGTGAAGGTACATGCAAGCAAGCCAAGAAAATATATGATCTATAACACTAATCTAACCTTACCTCACACTAAGGGTCCGTGACACCCGTCTACTCACACAAACTAGCTAATGGATGTTCCACTCAATATCAAGACATTCCACATCAATAAATACTAGACTGACAAATTCTTTAGGACAACATAATTTTGTAGCTTTAACTTAATATTCTGTAGCTTTTACTTAATATTCTGTAGCTTTTACTTAATATTCTGTAGCTTTCACTTAATATTCTATATGTTTCCTACTAGATATTCTGTAACATTTACTTAGTCTTCTATAGCTGTTACATAATATTCTGTATCTTTTACTTAAACTTTTTTAGTGCCTATTTAATATTCTGTAACCTTTACTTGACCATCTGTAGCTTTATTTTAGCATTCTGTAATAGCTTTTACTTAATCTTCCTTCTTCCTTCTTTAGGCTTTTAGGAAGCCTTCTTTAGTGTGT